TAGTTCATTAAGAGTAACTTGGGAAACTGTACAATTCAAGTACAACACAATGTGTGAAATTAAATACTTACAATGCTTTTCAAGTGCCTAACAAAAAGAAATAGAAGAGGTCCTTAAATTGAAGTTTCCCACTTATCACCCAATTTTCATGGAACATGGTGGACCCACAGCAACCGAGCTGTGGATGTAGTGGGATATTCACGTTCTGTACGTCATTCCACTTGTGTTCATGGAAGGGAACACTGACCTCAGCAACAACAGTCCCTTTGCCAGCAGAAAGTGTCCAACTGGCTTATACCTCATGCTGTGTGCAGCACAGCGGATTTCTACCCTGACTTTTCAGGACAGCCTCTGAGAAATCACAAGACTGTTAGATACTGCTTTCCAGTATAAAAGTACTTAAAGGAGCAACTGCTTAGAGCTTTACTGCAAAACACCTGGCATAAAAATATAACCTCATGTAAGAAGTAATCACCATTTAACAGTAGGATCCATACAGGCCAAGACTGCAAAACTGAGTTATATGTAGACCATTTTCTCTCATTATTGCTCTGCCCTTGTTCCTGTCCCTCACTAACATATTCTTGATCACATAGCTCCTAGGAAAGTCAGTGTGTAACACCACAGGTACTGTTTTCTGTTTGTGTGAAAGAGGCATTTCTCTCTTCAGTATTGCAGTCCTTTCTATCACATGCTGTTTCTTTCAAAAAGCTGCTACTGAAGGCAAAACAAAACCAAACCCCCTCTCATCAGGTAAGTGATATGCCCAACTAAGTCTTTTCACTGACTTGCAGCTAGTCTTTCTAACGCATCATATTCAAATCACTTGCTATTTCTGAGGTTAAGCAAGAGATAATTACTACTAAGAGACATTTGTCCCTTTTCATTTCCTGTACAACTTCAATACCCCTTATGATAACCTCCATAGCCTCAATTCTTCAGTGCTTTTGCTGAAGAACCTAACCTGCTTCTTTTCTTGAAGCACTCTTCTTTCAAAGCTATGGCTCAAGTCTTGACATAACCCGTGAAGACTTTTTTTAATGATCTAAATGCATTTTTACAAAACAAAACAAGAAGACACCATAAAACATTCAGTAAAAACTATCAGACTTCTGTTCAGGGGCAGTTGCTTTCCTTTTCTGCTGTAAATCATAGTGCCGTACATTGAAGGTTATACTTGGTAGAGAATAAGGGTGGCAAAACAGGCACAGCAACAAATAGATTTGTCACAATGGCATTTTTTCATTGCTGTATGTCTTCCTGTTGATCCATGAGAGTTGTCTGAAACAGCATCACTTGATGGCTGATGTGCTATTCTTTTCTTGTAACAAAATGCTTTTGGTTTTCAAACAGGACTCGGAGGGACCAAGTACATCTCCTTTGAAGAGCGGCAGTGGCATAACGACTGCTTTAACTGTAAGAAGTGCTCCCTCTCATTAGTGGGTCGCGGCTTCCTCACAGAAAGGGATGACATCCTTTGCCCTGAGTGTGGGAAGGATATTTAAAGCTCAAACAAGTGGTTAGGAGGGGGGAGGAAAGCTGTGCTTGCGATACATAGTCTGCAATACACAGATGTTCAGAACTAGCTTTGCCACTCTGACTTTCACTGTACGATTAATGTTACTTAACCTTTTTCTTCAAACTCTCCAAATCTGGAGGGAAAACAAAATCTCTAGTAGCAGGGTGGTGTTCAAGATTGCTACAGCTAACCAAAACTAATGCAAAACCCAAGATGTAACATCATTTGGGGGTTAGCGACATAACATACTCTTTTTGGTTTTGCTTTTGTTTTTTCCACTCAATATTCCGGTTACAAGCAAATGATGCAGTTCAAGGATTGCAATGGCCACATACAATACATTCATAGATGGATATTCAGGGTGAAACCCTCAGCCCATTGAAATCAATGGCAAACCCCATTCCATTTCAATAAGGCTGTGGTCTTGCCTCAGTGTTCTGAGCTACGTGACTAGTGTGTGATGTCAAGTGTGTAGAAAGACTGCGAAGGTAGAGGGTGTTCAATGTACAAGGATTTGTGCCATGCCACGAAGAGATACAATGATAAAACAGTTGAAGTGGGAGTGCTTCGTAACAGGTACATATTTTATTGCATGACTAGCTGATCATTGTGTGAAGTACAAGTTCTGATTGACAGTGTCAGTATTACAGTTAGTCGACATTACACTGCACATTGTATTTTTCAAAATAAAATCATTAAAAACAAAATAGTGATTGTGGTTTAATTGCATTTACATATTAGATATTTACAAATAAAACGCTTTCAAAGTCTGAAGGATCACAATGCAAGAGCCACACAAACACAACCCTTTTTGCACCCAGTCATTAGGAATCTGTGGGGTTTAGGCAATCCTCAGATGGACCCTGCTGATACAACATAGTCTTCTACTAACTGAAATTAGTGGGAAAATTATCAGCAAAACTAAACAACTGTGTGAAGACACTGAATAGACTGCAGCTGATAAAAATGTGCTTATAGGCTCTAAACTAAAAAACAAAATATTGTTCTTCTCAGCAAGCAGGGAGGTCAAGACAGCTCAAAAGACATTTATCTTTGTAAAAGTCAGAAGTTTAACTTCTATACTAGGGCATGCTTTCATTTTGTTATGTATTGCAATACACAAATACCCTTTGCTCTAGCATCATTTCTGCTACATGTTTGCTGCAAAGGCAATGTTCAGTCACAGCATGACTGTCAATAAAAATCAAGAGGAAACAATCCAAAGGAAGATTAAGTCTTTTCCCAAAACAAACCTCAAGAAATCTGGCCATGTTACTCAACATATGATTCTGGTACACCTTCCAGATGGAATCCATTTACATCCAGCAAAAGGAGGAAAGTAATATGTTGCTCTTCCAACTGGAATCTTCAGATGTGCAAAGAAGAATTGGACATATACTTTGTGTATAACTGGGTAGGAAAAGTTTGTTCCTAGCTCCTGCCACCACTCTTGAATTTGCCTCTTTTTGTACCAAGCATAACGTGCTCACAGGTCATTCCTCCCTCATTAATTCAACAAGGTAAATAGATGCATCAGATAGGATTTGGTTAGTAAACCATTTGAAGAACTTTGCTGGCTGACACTTTTGAAGTGCACACTGTGCAAATCAGATCTCACTGAATTACTAAGTTCTATCCTTTGATGACTTCATTCTATGATGAAGGTTGTAGTAAAGAATGGTCATGAAAATCCTTCTTACATTCACACCTCCCACAGGAGGGCAAGCAGCTCAATTTCTCCTCTGGGGGCTGGCAGTTCCCCAGCACACTGCAGCTCTAATACTTTCCTGAGAAAAGAAGGATTACTAAGGGGGTAGCAGAAGGGAGCAAGAGCAGCATGGCTTGTACCTTGTCCCCCAAGCACTACAACAGATGGCAAAATGGTCCCAGCTTTGAGGAAAAGTCAGGTGAAACGTGACAAGGCTGAAAAGCAAACAGGCCTGAAAACAAGACATCATGCTATTATTCCAGTACAGTTCTGCATATTACTCCTTAACACATACCAACACACATGTGCTCCCAGCAACTAAAACTACGACAAAATATAGCCTAAACTCTAAACCACTGCCAAGAAGCCACCCACAAAACAGAACTCCTATCAGACTACTACACTAGTGCAAGGACCAGCACTTCACACAATACTAACTGCTGCTAAACTCCAGACTAGCTACAAAGCTTTTTACCCCGTAAGCTCTTTCTTCAGTTCTAATCACTTCAAGCCCACTGAAAGGTAAGTGTGTAAAATGAACATGCTTAATTACATCACAAAAACAAGTCAGCACTACTTTGTTTGCTTTTAATTGAATTTATTTAAATAGGATAAGGCTACTTAAAAGACAACTCTTTACATACAAAATGTGCATTACGTTAAAGTTTGCTGTACTCAAGTACAAAAACTGGACAAGTGTTTAGTAAAAGGAAAACAGCACACTATTTCAAAACACACATTCTTACCATTTTACAGCATTCGAGAAGTGCCTTTTATGTCATAACAGTGAATGGAGAACTTCTGTCAGTAATGAATCAAGCTACAGGCTTCGGTTTCAACATTAACCAATGTTACAAATGTAAACATCTTTCAGATCGCTACTGAGAGCTTCTCTTAGTGGGTTAACTAAGTGGATTCAGAAGTCGATTCTTTTTTTGTTTCACTAAGTCCAGGAGTGTTGTTGTTATTATTTACCATCCATATCTAAAATGGATTGAAATTGGCCTCACTCTTAGCCACTGAGTTTCAATAAAAATGTTTCTATCAACTTAACTGGACTTCTGCCTTATAAGGCACTACCAGCAATGCAGATGAAACACCAAGTTTCACAGAAAACCAACACCCATTTTAAATGATCAAAAGAAGGGAAAACAGGTTATCCTTTTTTTTTTTTTTTTTTTTTTTAAAGAATGCAACTACATACACTAATGCTTTCAAGGTATTACTTTGTCTTCCTATCCCTGTCCCTCTCCAACTGTTAGTAAGTTGAGAAAGCACTGGCCTGCATTCCACATGTTTTTCCCATATTTTATAAGCATGACTGTAATCAGAAGAACAGCAAATCTGCTACATCAGCACATTTTTACACTTACACATGTATAAAATATGCCTGTGTATTTAAGAAAACATGGCACTAATCCATTCACTACTTCCTCTCAAAGATCCATATCAAACAGCCTAATAACATACTTCCATCCGTGTATTTATTTCATATGTCAATAAGAGAAACTTCAATTTGAAGTAATGCTGTTAAAATAGTTCATCTCTTATTACCAATCTAACTTGTACTGTAAATTCTACACTCCTGTGCAATATAAAGGAAAACATTTTGTCTCAGACTATCTTATCAGCAGCATGGTCAGTTTTCTCATCTAAATGAATTATTTTTTTAATGCCAAGAAGGTTCTTGGGATCATTCTGAATCTCAATAGCTATTTTAACTATTTGACCACAAGTGGAACAAAACTGAATCTTACTGAAACAAAAATAATGTATTTCTAGGTGTGAATTGGAATGACATGCTGGAGATGAACTATAATAATCTTCAAAACTAAAAAAGGGGGGTGGGGCTGGTGGTAGAACATTGTAATATGACCACCTTTTAAAGAAATACTGAGCTACTTGGTATACGTAAGTAGACTTTTTAAGGTGACTGGTGATAATGACTCCAGCGTTACAACAGGGAACTTTTAAAGTCGTTAAAACTTCACAGCAATCTGAATCCCTGTAAGGTTTAAAAAGAATTGTACTTAAACTGTTTAAATATGACTTATCTGTTTGAAAATATTGAAGTAACATTTATGTTTCAAGCACCTTTAGCTACTTCACGGCCATGTAACATGCTGGATTTTCTTCTTTGCTTCCGTAGGCTTTAGGTCATTCTGGAATATAAGAAAATAGATAAGTATTCTTAGATATACTGTGCAAGTAGAAGTTAGAAATTAACCTGCCGTATTCAAATCTTGTACTACTACTGTATTCAGCGCTACGTTACTACAACAGCTTTCTACTGCCATCTTGTGGACAATGCGAAGTATTACAGAACTTCTCTAAAGAAGATAAAAATAAAGCAAATCAATTCAACTATCTGCAAATCACATACATCATTTGGTTTTTCTTAATCCCACAATTTGTTATCCAAAAATATCTTTCAATTATGCATCTTAGAGATAGGTACATATTGGAGTTTCTAAACATACTTCTATATTTACATCAGATTGCCTTTTTAAAAAACTTGTTGAAATGGGACTGTCTAAGAAAAAAAACAAACATACAACTAGGAAACCCAATTTACTTTTGTCAAGCAGTAAACACGTTAGAAAAAAGAGAAGGGAAAGTTGCTTTTCTTTGTAATAATCAGTATAAAAAGCAAAATAATTGCCAAAGCCTCAGATGAACTCATCTTTCAAGCCCCACCCCAAGAAACCAGAAAAAAAATAAACCAAGCAAGCCCAAAGTAAACAATGGGAGATTGAAGTGGTGAAATAATTACCTTTCACCATATAAAATAAGAAAAAAACCCTGAGAAATTATAGTTTTAACAGTTCACACAAGCAGAGTAAAGACAGGTATATGAGTTATCAAGAATATTCTACTCTGCTCACTCTCTCTGCTCTCGTGAGACCTCACTTGGAGCACTGTGTGCAGTTCTGGTGTCCTCAACTTAAGAAGGACATGGAGCTGTTGGAGCAAGTCCAGAGGAGGGCCACGAGGATGATAAGAGGGCTGGGGCAACTCCCTTATGAAGACAGGTTGAGAAAGTTGGGGCTGTTCAGCCTAGAGAAGAGAAGGCTGCGTGGAGACCTCATAGCAGCCTTCCAGTATCTGAAGGGGGCCTACAAGGATGCTGGGGAGGGACTCTTCATTAGAGACTGTAGTGGTAGGACAAGGGGGAATGGGTTCAAACTTAAACAGGGGAAGTTCAGGTTAGCTATAAGGAAGAAGCTCTTTATTGTGTGGGTGGTGAGGCACTGTTGCCCAAAAAAAATAGTGAATGCCCCATCCCTGGCAGTGTTCAAGGACAGGTAGGACAGAGCCTTGGGCGACATGGTCTAGACATGGCAGGGGGGTTGGAACTAGATTATCTTAAGGTCCTTTCCAACTCAAACCATTCTATGATTCTGCAACACTGTGGTTTGGGGAGCACAAAAGAGAGATCTCTCTTCTCCTTAAGAGTTTCAGTGTTTGTTTATTTACAACAGTGCCGTAGATTGCAACCACTGAAAGGTTTAAAGGAATTAGACCTAAGGAACAGAAAGCCAGTTCTGTGCTAGTCAGCACAAGAACTTCAGTTTATCTTGACAGTCAAAGAACAGTCACTTGCTTGAAAAGGCAATTGTCATTACTGTCATATTAAAAAATGTATCAGGCTTTATACTCTACAGCCAAGTACACTGACACTTCCTGGCTGCACGACTTATTATTCAATATTACGTTCTTTTCAGACAGTAAAGTAATATCCATACAACACACCTGCCTAACTTCGAACATATCTAACCAACATTAGCCAAGGAACTTACCAGTATTAACCTGAACAACAAAAACTGTGGCTAAGGCAGAAAGTCAAGTGTCAGAGGTCATAGCTTTTGAGTGTCAGATATAGAGAGTCACTTAAGAGTGCTCATCACTGTGTCTACTAAACATTTAAATGAAATATAAAGAAACTGGGAGGTGTATATCAAACAAGTTTCAGAAGCTCTGTGGGCTCAGATCTGACCAGTACTTGGAAGAGTTACAAATATTAAAATAACTTAGTAACACTGGTAAGTAGGAAACACACCTCTCCAGCATAAATCTGATTCAGGGCCTCAGCCATGATCCTTGTAAAAGTTTTTCAGAACAGCCATGTACTCATGTTTAACAGAAGTCTGAAGGAACCAACCAATCCACACAGCAAGGATATTACCTGCATTCTTTCACAAGATGATTTTTTTTTTATTTTAAGAGATTAATAGAAAGCATTTCGTGAGACAACACTGAGAAAACAGAAATCTGGAGTCCTAAGAAAATTTTTATCAATGAATTCCACACTGCATATCTAAAGCTCCCCCTGCAGTTCAACTGAGAACAGATAGAAACATCTCTTCCTCTGAAGCCCAGACTTACTCCAGATATTCCCATACTCCAGTGGAAACGTGAAAATGCCTTCATTTGCATCATGAAGGAATATAAGTCAAATGCAAGACTTATCCCTACTTCACAGCATGTTTTAAAAAGGAGATGGCCCATTGTTCCTTGCTCTCTCACAAGCTCTTAAAGACTAATCACACCTTTGTCAAAAATAACCACTGTTCTATCTTTCTCCCCAGCTGACAGCTACATTCGGTACCATTACCTACACTTTCAAAGATATGCCCTGCTGAATTCATATATCTGGCCTTAGCTCTTCTCTCATCACTTCAACTCATCAGCCTCCTTCTGCACCCAGCTGTAGTGTAGTTCTCTACAGAAACTTTGTTTGCAGCTGAATCTAACTTGCAGAAAGAAAGGTAACTATTTACCTTTATGGTTAACAGCTCAGTCATCAACTTTCTACTTGAGAACAGCACTGGTCTATTCAAGATCTCAGCATGTCTTTCTATTGTCTTACAGAAGCCCAGGTACCTGCTTAAAACCACCATGGCTCAAAAAGAGTACTCAACCTCTCGCTTTGGCTAGTATGGTTTGTCGTTACGGCTTCTTAGTCAGACCCACAGACTATGCAGCTCTCCAGATTTTCACATCCAGTTCCTTCCTCTAGCTTGCCAATTCCTATGTGAGATTTAAAACAGATGGCATTCTTCCTCTAAGGATATATTCTACAGCTCTCAGCATCCCACTTCAGATCCTTTAACATCTCTTCCTTCACTTTGACAAATGAAAGCTTGTCCTACTCAACCATTCAAGTGTGACTGTTACAAATGTTATCATTCCGTTTTTTTCTTCCCTACTACAGAAAACAGACCACTTGTCCTCCCTCTAAGGCTCTTCATGTTTTTCTGTAATACCTGTTCTCTCGGACCTGCCAGTAGGATTATTTTGTTTGTGTTTTATTTGACTGTTACCAGCACCACCTTAAGTATTACCTACTAACTCATTTTAAAGTTACATACATATATGTTTTCTACAAAACTGCTCCTCTCACACAGAAGTTTCCTATGTACAAGTACAAAATATTTAATTTCTTTCCTTCTAATCTTTACCAAACCAGCTACTCTTTTGCCTGTTTCTAAATAAAACTCTGCTATTACTCCAAAATAAAATAAGCCTGAAAACTCTTATAAGGGTCTACATTTGGCTCCTGCAAGTTGCCATTGAAAAAAAAAAGCTGCAAAACAAGATACTGAATGTACATACCGGCAAATCAGATTCTTCTTTTGGAACAGCTCTCTTTAACTTCACAACAGTAGTTCCTGCTACTGGAGACAAGGGGTACACCTTCAGACTAGCCAACATACTGCTGTTAGTCTTTGAAATATTGTTCTGCTTAGCCTCATTATTTCTCATTCCCAGCTTAGCGTCCTCTGATAAACTGGAGGCTGAAATGTACGTTGAGGCATTTGGAGGAGCAGATAATCTCCTAACAGTGTTGGTGGTGCTTCCAGCTGGAGGAGGTTTTAGGCGATCAACAGCTCCATTTTCTGTCTTCTTCACCTTTATGCTTGTACTTGTTGAACTGCCATCAAATACAATTAACGGCCGTTTCCTTAAACCTTCCACCGTTGTAACACTGAAAATACAAATTGTAAAATTCTCAGAAACGCAAGCAACATGATCCAAAAATAGTATATCCAAGACACAGGTAGTGAAATACAAATTTAATCTTGCCTAAAGTAAAAACATATCCCAAAATACCAACCTTAAACTCTTAGCTACTCCAAACGTAGGCAACAGAAATTGCTTCTGAAATATAAAGGGGGAAGGGAGGGAAGCAGGGGGTAGTGTGAGGAACAGTGCTCCTTAGCAAAGAGGGTTCTGTGAGGAACTTTCTAAGCAGATAATTACAGCTGTATGACCAAAGACTATGCTCATCCCACTGTAGCTATTTCAGAATAACTAAAGAGATAATAGCTGTTAAGTATTTCAAAAGGTGAATATTTGAGAAAGTGTATGCCACCTTACCTACAAGAACGGCTCACAGAGCAAGAGAAAGTTCAGCTCTTATTCAAATTTGCTTCTACATTACTATCTGTTCACAACAATACATGTCACATAATCCTCCTCTTTTTCTATTCATCCGTTTCTGGGAACTGATAGAGACAAAGACAGACCTTCAATTCATCTGGAATTTGTTGAGAGATCAGACACAACTTTTTGACTTGGATCTACAGTAGATGCCGTTCCAAAAGGCTGCTGGGGAAACGTGCCCTTGTCAGGACCAGGAGTGCTCAGCCAGGCAAGTTGTTTTAATTAAATACTACTGAGACAACAGCAGTATTTAACACATGCATTGAATTAAGGTGTGTATTTTCACTTGAAAAGCCTATAAAGCTGACACACACTTCAAAAGTGAAGCATGATACTTTTTGCTCACTTTGGGTTTGTACAAGAATTTATTCAACACTCCTGACAAGGACACATTTCCCCAGCAGCCATTTGGAAGTAGCTTTTCATGTGAAAGAAGAGATTTTGTACCTTTTTTCAGTTACCTTCCTTAACATAAGTCTGCTTTTCCTATGGAGGCTTTCTGTGGTTATGTTTCTGTTTGTTGGTGATGGTACATTTTTTGTTTGGTTTTTAATTCAACTTGGTGAAGACCAGCAAGCCAGGAACTAACTGCAATTCTGAGAGGATCATTATCTATTCTGAACTGAATTTTAGAATTCTAGCACTTGTATAAATGACCACATGCTACAACACAGAAAATATTCCCAGAGAAATACTTTGGGAAAGTTCCAAAATAAATTTGGATGCTGTACCATCAAGAACTGTCACATCTCATTTTTAGACACATGGCTCACAGAACCCTGGTTATGACATTCCCTTTCTCTATATAAAGTACAGGCAGCTTAAAAGCTCCAGAGTAGTACTCATGATAGCCAGCACTCATCTGAGGGAGGACACTGATGTTAGCCAACAGCTGAAAAGAACAGCCTGGGATCCTATTACCTCAGGCAGGACACTCCCTGTGAAACCTAGATTTCAACATGCATCTCCTACATCCTAGAGAAATGTTGTAGCCACACTTTCAGCTGGCCTGAACAGAAGGCATGCTGTGTACTTTGTAGCACATGGCAAAGATTTAAAGATACACCAGAGGAAGCAAAAGCTTCTCTACATGAGCAACCTGGGTTTCCACTGCTTCACATGGTTTCTCATCCAGTCGCGATGGCCTCTGAACAATTCCCGATTACGAGGGCAACTTAATGAAAACACTTCTATTCTTGTCTAGCTTAGCCTGGTACTTAAGGTAGCACTCTAAAACCAGAAAGAAGTGTAGGATTTAGCTCCCATCCCTTGATTATCCTAAGTATTTGTGGGTTACAAAAACTTCTGTGAATGTTTGAAACTGGTCAGAAGTACCCTGTTTTACACTGAACTCAGTATTATCAGTGCATTAGCAGTTCTCGGAGGGTGCTGAAGTGGCCTCTGAAGTGACTAAGGAGAAATGATGAGCTCTACCAAGACCACAGCTCTGAGCACGCACAGCCACAGAGCTTCTGCAGACTGAGAGTTTGCAGGTGAGAGTCTTCAAACTCAGTGACACTTCAGAAAACATCTACACACTTTGAGATTCATACCATCCTCTTTCATCTGCAGGCAAAATGATACTATAGATCTCCCAAATTAACTGTCCCTGATCACAAATACTTTGTGAAATGTTTGAAGTTGGACAGACTGCATTTGAGTTTATTTGGTATGATTGAGTGCAAGCTCAAATATTCAGTAATAAGATGTATAAACCACTATCTGTGATCTCAGATATTTGATTGTATTACTGAGGTATAACTGCAGCTCAGCTGATACACAGCAAGTCTTTTAAGATGTGCCATCAATCACCAGCAGTAAAACTAAACAATATACACAGACTGACTTTGAAATGTCTATGTTTTTACTTCTTATCTCTGACTACTAGAAGCATGTAAACACACACTGAACTGTGCTGATCAAGTCACCAAGCCTCACATTAATTCCAGTGCACGTTGTAAGGCTGCAGTTTCCACAGAGGAACTCATCAGAAAGATCCCATTGTTCATGCAATCAATCCTTCACCTGACTTCTAAATTGACTTAACAGCACGCTTAGTTCCCATCTCTGAATTGCACATAACTTAAAGCCTCAGAATACCTAGGAATTTTGTTTTTAAAAACAAGAATGCCAAGTTCTACTTCCTCCTCTGCACAACAGCAGTTCTGCTTCAATGGTGCACAAAACTGTGAGGAAAACTGTAATATTTTAATATCCAAAAAGATAATTAAACTTCCTTAATTCTTTCCATCAATATACTAAAACTGAACTTTTCTCAGTACAACTTTTACTTACTAGCTGAAAGGCTATCTCTCCTATTTCTCTGAGGTAATTCTAGCAGAAAAACTAAACTCTTCTAGACAGTATTTTGCCAGCATGTGAAGTAGAAAAGATACGATACAAGCAAGAACAACGACTGCTGGAAAATCTCTATCTAACAACAGAGCAAAAGACTAAGCTTAGTATGCTAGATGTTAAGTGCTAAGAGCAAGTAGTAAAGAAAAGCAGACTGGTAGATTAAACGTATCTCCTTTTACTTACTATTTTCCCAGATAATACTACATAGGTAACCATTACGGAATTTTAGTGCACTAAAATAAGAGCCCCTAAACATATTCTACATAAAAACTCTGGACAAAGCCATTCTCCCATCTGAACATTAACACTGCTTCATTCTCTCAAAAACATCCAGCCTGCTATCTTCCTTCTTTGATAAAAAATTCTTTTGCATCTATTTCAGCATACCAACAGGTCTTGCTATTATTCAAACACTAACCTCATGCTTTTATTCTCAAGTTGCAAGATGTAAACAAACTGAGGTACCATAAACTTTTATGCTCATGGTAAAAAAAACCAAACTGGCATAACAAGACAATTCAGTGTGCCAGCCACTTCTAACACTAAAAAGTCAAAACCAGAAAAAGAACCAATCTATTGACAGAATTTGCTTAGCTCTTCACAGTTAGAAACCTCAGCAAAGCTAAAACACACCCATGAAATCAACAAGCTGTCATACTGCAAAACTACAATGAGAATTTCTATCCACCTTTCCTTCACATGTACTACTGAAGCTAAATCAGAACTCCACCCATGCATATCTATCAAAGTCCTGAACTGAGGAAGACTGGGAGAAGTTTTGGTAAAATAAACTTTTAAGGAAGATTTTGCTTTCTGATCAAATACAAAGATTTCAAAAATAAGGCAGGATGCTCTTTCAGAAAGCAGATGTTAGTTTTGAACTGGACACAAAACTGCTGCAGCATACAGCCCTGACTCTAGAGCAGATCACCGCTGTCCAAGGAACAAGCATAATTAAACGTGCTTTGGGCACTTTTCTTAAACACTGTAAAAATATGATTATTATTCAACAATTATATATTGAAACAAGAAAATATTTTTTTTTTCTTCATTATAAAGTACCTTGAAATGTACCAATAACCCTGTATCAACACAAGCTGGGGGATGAAGGGATTCAAGAGCAGCAATGTCGAATAGGAGAAGGACTTGGGGGTGATGGTTGATGAAAAGCTCAACATGACCCAGCAATGTGCGCTCCCAGCCCAGACACCAACTGTATGCTGGGCTGCATCAAAAGGAGCGTGACCAGCAGGTTGAGAGAGGAGATTCTGCCCCTCTGCTCCGCTCTCGTGAGATTCCACCTGGAGTACTGCATCCAGCTCTGGGGGCCCCAACACAAGAGGAACACGGAGCGAGTCCAGAGGAGGGCCATAAAGATGATCAGGGTTTGGAGCGCCTCCACTACGAAGACAGGCTGAAAGCTGGGCTTGCTCAGCCTGGAGAAGAAAAGGCTCAGAGGAGACCTTACAGCAGCTTTTTCAGTACTTAAAGGGGTGTCGTGGTTTAAGCCCAGCTGGCAACTTGGAACCACGCAGCCGCTCGCTCACTCCCCCCCCTCTTCCTCCCCCCTTTTCCTTCCTCCCCCCGCTCCCCGAGGGATGGGAAGGAGAATCGAAGGAATGTAACTCCCACGGGTTGAGATAACAGCTCTCCAGTAACTAAGGTATAATACAAACCACTACTGCTACCAATAATAATGGTAAGAGGAATAACAAGGGGAGAGGACACAACCGCTCACCACCCGCCGACCGATACCCAGCCCGACCCGAGCAGCGATCTGGGCCTTCCAGGTAACTCCCCCCAGTTTCTATACTGGGCATGATGTGCTGTGGTATGGAATACCCCTTTGGCCAGTTTGGGTCAGGTGTCCTGCCTCTGCTTCCTGCTGGCTTCCCCTCCTCTCTGGCAGAGCATGAGACTGAGAAAGTCCTTGGTCAGAGTAAACATTACTTAGCAACAACTAAAAACATCGGTGTTATCAGCATTGTTCCCAGGCTGAAGGTCAAGAAACACATCACTGCACCAGCTACTAAGAAGGAGAAAAAATGACTGCTGTAGCTGAACCCAGGACAAGGGGCCTTATAAGAAATACAGGGACAGACTTTTTAGTGGGACCTGTTGCAATAGGACAAAGGGTAACAGTTTTAAATGAAAAGGTAGATTCAGACTAGATATAAGGAAGAAATGTTTTACAATGAGGGTGGTGAAACACTGGAACAGTTTGCCCAGAGAGGTGACAGATGCCCCATACCTGGAAGTGTTCAAGGTCAGCTGGACAGGGCTCTGAGCAACCTGATCTAGTTGAAGGTGTCCCTGCTCATAGCAGAAGGGTTGGACTAGACAAGCTGTAACAGTCCGTTCCAACCCAAACCATTATATGAAAAGCACTAGAAGCTAGCTATCATTAGTAATATTTAAGTGACAAAAAAAGATTATCTTCCCCTTTTTCCTGTTAGTGCAATAGCAGAATCTAACACTTCCGACCCAGAAAACCCGAGACAGCAATCTCTAAAAACTGTAACGACATACAAAAGCTGTACAAGTTCCATCAACCAGGCAAACAAAGATTAGACTAACTACATCATACTAAATTCTGCAAGTGTAGCCCAATAATAGCTAAATTACCTTTTAGTCTCACTTTTAAACTCATTTTGCTGTCTTTTCTTCTCCATCATTTTCCCCCATCTACTTTTTGGCAAGTCACGCTGAGGCAGGGGAATGGCATGTTGAATATAGAGATCAGTGAGTCCATCTTTGTTCATCTTTACATCATTTTCAACTAGTATATTTTTCTGTGGGGAACAGAAAAAAAGAAAAAAGTTGTTATTATGACAAGTTCAAAGTACAAACATCTTAATGGCATCACTTCTGTTTTGAAAAGCCACTTTAGTGTATCAGGCACAAATGCCAGGGTTTCAGAAGTGACAGGGCTGCAGAGGTGACCACTGTGGAGAGGCCACGAACAGCCCCGTGCCAAGAACAGCCTGGTCTGCTGCCTCCCTTCCTACTGACAACTTCCCTTGTTTTCTGTGTGGGTTACACTTGGTTCGTCCCTTCAGTGAGGCAACGGGAAATGAAAGGTATCTGGGTCAGTGCATAGTGGTTTATTTTTCCACCACCTGCAAGCACATCTCTTCACATATATCCTCGTGTGCCTCTTCTGCACATCCTTTTGTGTCTCCTGCCTCTGTGGCTGCAGCTCTTTTTTAAGTGCACTTGAGCATAGGTGTCATGAGCTCCTTGGCTTGAAATTTTTGTGTGGGAGGGGCTGTTTCCATCAATATCAGAGACGGCTACAAGTAGTACTGGGCAGTACACCACCTCTGCCCACAGAGGTGACCTCTGCAGCCACTCCCTATCCAAAACCCTGCAGTATTTCCCTATAAATATAGTAGAAAAAGAAAAACAAACAAACAAACAAGTTATGATGGACATCCTGTTGATGACTGACGTTTTCATGCACTCCTTAGCATAATTCCCTGAATCCAACTACAATACCAGAATCCACCTTCCCTAAATCCAACTACAAAACCACTCTTCACTCTTCTAAAAACCAGACAAGTAAAACATGACATGTTTCAAACTTACAAGTGTAGAGAGATGCTTCCTTCCTAGTTCCCAAAGAAGGGGGATTTCTAGCAACTATTAGTCACAACAGAGCACCAATTTTCTTTCTAACCATGTATAGGGTTGTGAAAACAAGATTTCTTGCTGCCTGCTTTCAAATTTATTAAGAGGAAAAATGCTACTTTCTACAAACTAGAGGTCACTGAATGGTGAAGGTGAAGTCTCTGCCACTACTGGTTTTGACAGCATTTCGTGACTTCTGATGTCAACCTAAACCCTGTACATTTTTGTCTACATAAATTACATGGACAGGAGCACACAAAAATTCAGTGAGTTCATACAAAAAATTATAACTTTCATTACTACTGTTTCATACACCTAAAATTTTCAGGCTAGAAATTAACAAGTATTCCAAATCACATCAACTGAAGCTTCTTATGGTTCAAAACCGTTCATAACTCACTTTCAAACTCTTTTTTTTTTCAGTTATGCATACTTAAGCAATAGCTTGACTGATTTTGAAGGATTCATTTTCTTAATTCACTGGGTATGAACATGGAAACTGTAACAAGGATCACCTTTCCACAGATAATTTTACTGTATGCAAACACTTTCTCACACCGAGAGATTTGAGGAAGTTGTACTCTAGCAGCTGCAATGTTCAAACACAGCCCCTTTGCAAACACGGAGTCACCTCTCATACCATGGGCCTCCCCTAACCAAGTAGCTAGACTACAGAGTACCAGATTGGATTTTGCTTGGTTTTTCCCTGAACGCTTCTTGCACATTCATCTGTGAAAGAAAGAGGAGAAATACGCAGCGCAGGGGTGAAGCGGAGGAAGCGGGGTCAGCCCAACACATAAGGCCGCAGGCCCGGGAGGCCTCCCCTCTCAGCCCCCTCATGACCCGCTGCTACGGGCCCGGCTCCCTCCCCGCCGGCGCCCAAGCGCACCTGCTCCAGGGTGAGCAGCAGGAACTCCTCCGAGAGCAACTCCGGGTGCAGCAGC